TCATAATTTCTTCTTCTTTCTCAAGAAATTAGAGAGTGTGAATTAATGGAAGGAGTTACCAATAGGAAAATTAATTAAGAATAATAAGTATAATATTTAAAAATAATAATAAAAAATAAAACAAATAGGTCAACCCATCAACCCATGGGTTGACCTTAACTGGACTCGTGACTTGTACGAGTTGATAATACAAGTTATTTACGGGTTGCAGGTTGGGATATATAGACCCTAACTCGTTTTAATAAGTTGGGTTAGGATCGAATTGACAGGTCGAGTAGATTTTTGCAAAGTCTGCCTCCAACCTAACCCACTTGTCTAGGCCTACCTTGGATCAACCCACTTCCACCCCTGCATCTCCACCATACGATGTTTCACTTGTATCTTCTTCCTCACCACAATAGTATCCCAATTTTGATTCTGATTTTGACCCGACTGAACCCTCCTCTCTTCCTGTACTACCTCACCAAACCCACTCCATGGTGACCCGTTCCCAAAGCCAAAATTTCAAACCTAAACAATTATTCCTTGCCACCACATCTTCGACTAATGCTTTGCTTAAACCTACTTGTGTATCTCAAGCTATGAAGGATCCAAACTAGAGATCTACTATGTTCGATGAAGTCATTGCTCTAGTTCACAAAGGCACTTGGGATTTGGTACCATCATCCCTACATCACAACATTATCGATTGTAAGTTGGGTTTTTTGGTTGAAGTAATGTGCTAATGGGAGCATTGAGTGCTACAAAGCGCGTCTGGTAGCCAAAGGTTATCATCAACAACCTGGTTATGATTACTTTGAAACATTTAGTTCGGTCATCAAACCCACCACAATTCAAACTATCCTCTCTATTGCTATAAGTAATAACTGGCCCATTCAATAGTTAAATATCAATAATGCTTTCCTTAATGGTAGCCTCGATGAAGAATATTTATGCAACAACCATCTGGATTTGTTGATGAGAATATTCCCCATTATGTTTGTCGCTTGCAAAATCTCTATATGGCTTGAAACAAGCTCCTCGATCATGGTTTCTTGAATTGAAATCCTATTTGGTATCTTAAGGGCTTCAATGCTCTCGATCAGATACTTTTTTATTCATTTTTTGCCAGTTTGGAGTTTTGGTTTATTTCCTAGTTTATGTTGATGATATCTTGATCCCTAGTAATTCCTTATCATTTATTGATAACTTGATACCATCTCTTGGTAATTGATTTTCCTTGAAGGATCTTGGCACTTAGAGTTTGTTTTTAGGTGTCAAAGCTATTCCTATTGCTATAGGTCTCTTTCTCACTCAGCATCACTATATTTGTGACATTTTATAGAGAGCTTAGATGTTTGATGCTAAGACTGTCACTACTCCTATGGCTTCTTTGTGTTCTTTACAACAAGGTCCTGGCAACACCTTGACTGACCCTATTATTTATTGGCAAAGTGTTAGTGCTTTGTAGTATCTATTCCTCACTCGACTGGATATCTCCTTTTTAGTTAATCGTCTCTCCCAATTTCTTCATTACCCAACTGAGTCTTAATGACAAGTTGTAAAGCATGTGTTGCGATGCCTCAAATAGACCTTATATCATGGCTTACTTCTTTGTTTGCAGAAGCATCTTTCATTGCATGGTTTTTTTGATTTTGACTAGGCTGGTGACCATGATTCTAACATTTCCACCATTGGTTATATTGTTTTTCTTAATTCTAACCCTATATCTTGGAAAGCTACCAAACAACGTGCTTGTGGCCCGTGGTTCAACGAAGGATGAATATCATGCTCCTGCTATTGCCTCTTCTGAAGTCATTTGGATTCGGAATCTATTAGATGAAGGGTATCTCTTGCCTTGGTTCTCCCACGTTGTATTGTGACAACTTGGGTGCCACTTATTTGAGTACTAATCCTGTTATACATTCTCGAATGAAACACATTGCTATTGATTTACATTTTGTTTGTGAGTTGGTGGAAAGAAAGGTTCTTCGTGTGGCACATATCTCTTCCAACAATCAGCTTGTAGATGGATTTACTAAACCTCTCTCCAGCACTTGTTTCTTGCAGCTTTTTGGTCCAAGATTGGCATCGTCAACGGCTCGTCCATCTGGCATGGGCGTGTTATGGATACTAATCAATGACTTAATCAATCACATGATTTGGCCATTGCTGTAGATATGTGATCAATTATATGATATGGTCATTATTACAGGTATGGATTTAGTGTACTGTAAATGGCAACCTGTTCTTATTTCCTTTGGTACATGTCTTGGACAATACCCTTCAATGTGAAGCTTTTGTATATATATTCACTCAACTGTGAATAAAATTGTTACGCCATCCTGCATAGCCTTAACTCTCCTATCACCTTGATTCGTCCGCAATTTGAATTTAGATAACATGATACTGCCTTTTACTATAATCAAACTCCATGACAAGGAAATGATGGGCTAAGTACTAGATAGTACTATTCTATCATCGTCCAATAAACTAATCAATATAGACTTAGACTTGTAATGGTTTTATAAAGAAATTACGCTTTGAAAATGACTTGAGCAGCACAGCTAAGCCTTTGTTTGCTGTCATTGATATTGATTTGATATATTATCTTAATATAAGAGTTAACAATTTAAGATATATCATTAGAGTTATTTGTGTTTTTATTCATGGATTTAGAATTTAACTATTGGTCATTACATGCTTAAAAAATAATGTTCTTGATAATGCCTTTGCTCATTAACGGAAAGATAAACAGAGTTTATGAGAGATCTTAGATTTGAATTTGCTATCACCGTACCATATGGTATCGTTTTGGAATATTGGGTTATTCCTTCCTTTTATGTTCGTTCAGACACACTCTTGAGAAGGTCTTATAAATGAAGTTTCCTTGTAAATTCTGTTAGTTGAAGTTTGATCTTGAATGATTTTTTGGCAAAACACATGAATTCAATGTAGGTTTCCATTGACTCAGAAATTTAAAAGAAAAATTTTCAAACCAACAAATAGAAGGTACAAATGGAAGATTCTGTCCTGTGTTTGAATAATCAAACATAG